CACTGGGGGGACTTGCGCTGCCGCTGGTGCTAGTGGTGGTGACAGTAGCTGAAATGGACTCAGACCCTTCCTTATGCCAGACCATGTTTCTTTTTTCATCTTATACTTTTGCTCCTTTCCCCCATCCTTCCTGACTACTCAGGCCTTTTCTGCTTTGTACTTAATCCTTTTCTCCCTCGGTCCCCTTGGATAAGCATTTAACATTTACCTTTGGTATCTTGACCTCAGTTTTTCGTCCATGTATTTTCAGTTGATGTATTGCTTCACTCCAGGAAACATCAGAAGTTAAAACACAAATTTAAAATCTGTCACAAGGATCTGGTCTAAATTTTAGAGGTAAACATCGAGGTATCTTGCTAGAGACCAGCCACATTTGATGTGATATTACATTCAGATATCTCCCTGCCCCCCCACATTGCTGTTTGTGTGCACCACTGGGGCAGGTCGGGGGGATCTTAGACCCTCAAAGTTAACAGAAAATACGTGTAATTATAACATGCCAACTTCTTGACATTTTCGACAAATCACATTGTGACATTTTACAAATAACATTGAACACTAAACAGCAAGTAGCTAAGCTGTTTACCTGAATTAAATACCTTCATCCTCATTTTTATATTCCGTGGTACCACACTGTACCTGTCCCTACCAGATAACATGCCACATTCAGAAAATTCTGTAGTAATGACCATTCTAGAGCCTGTGCAAATTAAAAGTACTAAATCCCCAAACTGAAAAAAAAAGTTTAATTCAAATTAAATGGATACAATCCAGTTTACACTCTTTTTTTCTTTTTTAACAAAGGAGAATAAAATAACAGTATTAAGTATTTCCTTTGCAAAGGAAATTCCAGCTTTTACCTTTCAAGCAACATCTGCACATAGTTTTTGTTTTAATCTAATCTAACTAGTCTAACACCCTTTTGTTCTTCTAGAGACCTTAGGAACTATTTTAACTAATTTTAAACAGACTTTAAATAAAGTCTCTGAAGTTATTCCATTGAGTACACTCCCCACAGACACCCAGAAATGTGAAGTTGATAATTTGAAATAAACTAATCTAATCAAGTCCAAGAATACTCCTTTTCCAGTAATCCCATAATGCTTCTCTTTGTCTAGCAATTTGATTGTAAGTATGTTATAGATAAAAAGGTATGAAAATTAGTTACTTCTCCTGATCCAAAGATATGAAGAAAGTGAAAAGGAAAGCCATAAAGTGTGTGGAAATATTTCCAAGACATTTATAATAGCCTTCTTGTAGCCAGAATATATAAAGAATTTGGAAAAAAAATCAGTAGGAAAAAGACAGCCCAATAAAGAAATATTTAATACACCAGAACAGCTACTTCACAAAAGCTAACATCCAAATGGCCAGAAACGTAATCAACTTCTTTAGTAATCAGGCAAATACAAAATCAAACAATACAGGGGTGGCAAAGTTGAAAGACTAACAACACCAAGTGTTGTGACTGAGAGAGACGGCTGGGACTCTGAGACCCTGCGGGTGAAAGTAAGTGGAGTAACTTTGGAAGCCGGGCGGGCAGGTCTGGGATTGCGTGAGTGCATATCCAGAGGCCGAGCATTTGTGCTCTGAGTGCATCCAAGAAAAATATGTGCTCTCGTGCATCTCAAGGGTTAAGTGTAGCAACACTGGTGGTAATGTTATTTTGTAAGGGACCCAAACTGGGAACAAACAGACAACTTTCCCCAGTAGTATATTCATGTGATGGACCAGTACACGGGAATGAAGACGTCTGGACAGCTACATGCCACAGTAGGGCACTCTCACAGAGGTCGGTTTCTGTGGGAGAAGCCAGACCTAAAAGAAGACACGTCATAGTAGCATTTCATACAATTTCCCGAAATAGGCAGAATTAAACTCCAGTGCCATAAAGGTGTAACAGCTGAAAAGTGGAAATGGTCCAGATGTCTATCGGTAGGGGGACGGTGAGTAAATTGTTCTATATTCAGATAACGGAACGCTGGGTAACAAAGAAAATGAGCAGATGTGAACTTCCGGTGACGTGCAGGCATTTCACAGACATGTTCAAGGACAGAAGCAAGACACAAAAGAACATGGTTCCCTTTATGTGGATTTCAGACAGGCAGGAATCTACAACTGTGATGTGACTCCGGGGTATTAGGTGTCCTGGGGACAAAGGGAACGATGGTGGCCAAAGGGTCGTGTTCTTTATGTCAACCCCTCAGCCGCACATGCGTGTCTCATACACTTTTCTCTTTGTGTTTCATTTCATGATTCTGAAAAGGCTTAGCAGAGCGAGAGCCGTACTGTTTGGGTTCACATCCCAGCCTCGCTGCTTTCCAGCTGTGTAACTTCGGGAAATTTATTCACCTGCTCTAGGCCTCGATTTCATAACTGTCCCGTGAGGATAATAATCAAACCGATTTTGTACGATTTGTGGTAGAGATTAGAAAATACTGGAGTCTTCGCTCTGCTGTTAGGCACGTGAAAGACAGCTGGCTTGTGGTAAGCGCGGAGTACCTGTGGCCCCTGCTGCAGCCGCTGGTGCCATCGCCAGTTTGTTTGTTCAAGGGAAAGTTAAACTCCCGCTAAGTTAACGTTGTGTTTATAAACCTATCATGGCTCTCCGTGTAGGTGAGTTTTTGTTTAGGTCTCTCGGAAAAGTTTATTTTCTCGAGTGTCCGTGTTATTTCACAAACTAATTACGAGGTGTTTTACACATGTGTTTTACGGTTGTCAGTAAAATTTTCCTTGCTTGCATTTCATAATTGGTCTTTGCTGGCGTCTAGCAGCTAATACTGTTGAGGACTTACTGCTGTCAGGCTGGGTTCTAAGGTCTACGCGGACTCACTCTTTTTATCCCCGGTTTACATAGAGTCGAAACTGAGAACAGGGGGCCTGGGTGGCTCAGTTGTTGAGCGTCTGCCTTCAGCTCAGGTCGTGGTCCCAGGGTTCTGGGATCAAGCCCTACGTCGGGCTCCCTGCTCAGTGGGGAGCCTGCTTCTCCCTCTCCCTCTGTGCTGTCTCTCAAGTAATTAAATAACATCTTTTCAAAAAAGAAAAAAGAAACTGAGAACAGAGGGTAAAGGTAGCAAACTAAGTATGTGGTCTGGGATTCGGTCTGGCCCCAGCACCCATTTTACTCCACTGATCTATGCCAGGAAAGCTGTTCGTTTTATACTTTTATTTAGTAACTGGTCACTTTTCCTTAGCATAATTTTTTAGTTGACTTTCTCAGGTTTCCAAGAAGCCAGTTATATCATTTGCAAGTAGTTATGTTTTGTGTAGTACCCAATAATTCTGGTTCCCTTGCCGTACTGCTTTGTTTTTAAGGTTCGGGGGAAGCATCGATAAACGTAACGGAGTGGGCATCCTCCTGTTAGTCCAGCTGAATGCGAACGCCTGTATTTCCTAAATGACTGAGAGTGACATTGACTCTTAACTGTAGAGTGTTTTCTTTATGTTAAGAATATGGTTTTTTTAGTTACAAATGGTCTTTGATTTGTTTATTCTGTTTTGCTTTAAAATTAGGGACGGCTTTTAAGTTATATCAAATATCTTTGTGTATCCTTGAAGATGACCACATAGATTTTTCTGTGTTAAACCATGTAATGACTCATTCCTACCTTCCTAGAATTTTATTGAGATTTTATTTATTTATTTTAGAGAGGGAGCATGATCCTGGGGAGGGGGAGAGGGAGAGCGAGCATCTCCAGCCAACTCCAGCCAACTCCTCGCTGAGCACAGAGCCCGATGTGGGGCTCGATCCCGCAACCCCGAGATCATGACCTAACCCGAAATCAGCAGCAGGACACTCAACTGACTAAGCCACCCAGACGCCCTGCATTCCTAGAATTTTTAAAATAGTGCCAAATCTTAATTGCTAAAATTTCTGTGAGATTTTTGTGTATATAATAAGTACAAATGAGCGTGGTCTGCAGTTCTCTGCCGTTTTTATTAGGTGAATTCTAGCAGTGTAGGAGGAATCTGGAAGATTCCTGTCTTTTCTTGCATTACATACTGTATTTTAAAATAATTTTTGAGAACATTTTGTGGTATGGCTGCCTAATACCGTTCATTACATTTTTTCATTAAAGATCTCAAGTGTTTCTTCTTTTTCACTAATTACAGAAATCTTCAAACAGACCTAAGTAGAGAGGTTGATACCGTTTTGTTCATTTCTCACCTCACTTTGTTTTCCTCTGAAGTATTCTGGACCTTGCTGCTTAAAGCATGAAGTATTGCCTGGGAACTTGCTACCCGTGGACGTAATCACGGTCACATAAGCACATACTTCACAGCACCTTTGCCGTACACCGTGGGTTAGAGGCCGGTCTTAGCTCATGCCCCCCACGCGTGCTTTAGGTTTCAAACCCATTACAAGGAATGTTCTGAGATGTTGAAATAAGGCTTTGAACATTTGAACATTTGTCTGGGGTCCTGGAAGGGAATTACAAAGTCAGAGCATAAACTTGAAAGCTTTTGATGTCTGTTGTCTAGCTGCTTTCTGAGAACCAGTACCTCTTTTGTTTGAATGGTTGACAGATGACAGCACTGACAGTTCAGAAATGTGCCTTTTCTGCCAGCGAGGTCATTAAAGGACGAGAAAGCAGGAGAGAAGACGAGTAACTCGAAATTCTTACCATAATCACTTGAGTGATCGAGAGCCTGAAGGTTATTTGAATTGATTTTCGGCGTCTCGAACCATTTGGTCAATTTACAGTTTCTTACTAAATCTAGATCAGTGTGTGGTTGTCGGGAAACATTCGGGTGCCTAATGCAGTGTCAGAGGTTACAGTGGGAGAAGATACATGCTAGCATCTGTGCCTTCAAAGGGCTTATAGGAATCTTACTACATTGTATACATTTTTTTCATCTTTCTACAAAACAGAACTTCGACTTACAAAAGTTAGTGCTGAATTTCGCATGCGCTGGGTTCTCACTGAAGTAATTTGAAACTCTTCCTAGCTGTGACTTCCACCAAGATAAAAACAAAGTTGGCTTTTCCTCTGTTTTAGCAACAGCGTACTGTGTACAGACTGACTCTAGTGAAAGCGTGGAATGTGGACCAACTCCAGGCCTACGCAGAGCTGGTGTCCCTGGGGAATCCCGACTTCATCGAAGTGAAGGTAAGCTCCTGCCAGCCAGTGTCATCGAATCACCCCTGGTGCTGTGTTGGCCGCCGTGAAGTTAGCATCTTTTAAAACTCAGTGGGGAGCCCCAGATGTTTTATTTATTCATTCAGGAATATTAATCAAGAGCCTGGCACTGTTCTAGGCATTGGGGATAATAACATTAAGGCCAAGCTTTTGTTCTTAGAAAGCTTACATTTATGGAGAGGTAGACAGTCAACACAAAATGAATAATTAAAAACTACATCATAACATGAATGTCCTGAGAAATAAAATAGTGTTATAGTAAGGAACTGGTTGGCTTTAAAATAAACTTTTATTGTGGAGAATTTCAAACATAAACAGAAGTAGTGAGACTGGTCTAATGACCCTCCATCCAGTCATCACCCGGCTTCAGAAGTTGTCCACTCCTGACCAGTCCTGTTTCTAGTGTACCCCAGCCCATTTTCTCTGCCTTACCCTGTAATTTGGAAGCAGAGCCCCACATTGTATGACTTACCCATAACTGTTTGAGGAGATGTCTCTAAAAGACAGACACTCGTTTTAAACACTTACTCAGAATGCTGTTCTCACAGCTGCACAGTGTTCACAATGGTCACGCAAGTGTCACAAATAGAAGGTTTTAAACTTGACCAATTATTTCTTCTTATTTAAGTAGGATTCGTGAATCTGGGTCCCAATAAGGGTCATAGACTGAAATTGGATTATTTCTCTCTTAAATTTCTTTGAACCTGTTAGTTCCTCCTCCGTGTGTTTTCTCTCCTCTGTCCCACCTCCCACACCAGTCATCTTGTTTATTTATCCTGGCTAGTTCCTGTGTCTGTATTTTACATTTTGCTGACTGCATGTTCCTGTGCCCCCGTACTCCCTGTAAATTGGCAGTTAGATCGAGAGATTGATCAAATGTGTGTGTGTGTGTGTGTGCGCGCGCGCGTGTATGTGTGTGTGTGTCGCATTTCACGATTATTTGGTCGGTGGTATTTATACTTACAGCAGGAGGCAGTCATGTTTGGTTGTCTCTGGCCTGCTTTTGCCAGTGTTTCTTTGGGATGATTCCTGTAAGTGGATTTCTGTGCCAAAGGGCAGATACTATTTTGCTAGATATTGTGATTGGCTGTTTTAGATTTCATAAGGGGGTTTTGCTGAGGAGAAGAGGACTTTTTTACAACTGATTCCTAAATAGTAAGAAGCAGTGCGGTACACAGAGGCCTCGGGTCAGGGCATTCTGGGCCGCTGGCCCAGGTAGTGTCCAAAGGTCCCGTGTGATCTCAGTGGACAGCTGAGTTGGCGGAGACACAAGGTGAACCACAGTGGTGGGATGGGGCCAGGTTCTGTTAGAACTTCCAAGCAAGAAAAGAACTGGGTTTTATACTAAATTTCATGGTCAGCTTTTTGAATAGTAGATGTACTGGGCAAAGGTTTTAAGCTGGAGGGGATGTGAGGTGATTTGTGATTTTAAAAGGTCACCCTGCTGCTGTCCTGACTGGGTTACAGAGGTTCAGAGTAGGAGTAGCTAGACTAGTTATAAAGCAAGAGATGGGGCGGCTTGGGAAGGTCATTGGAGACACCACTGGACAGCGGTGAGTGCACTTGGGATGGATTCTGGAAGTAGAACCGGCAGAGCTTGTTGCCCGATGAGACGCAGGGAGGGAAGGAACAGACAGAATCAGGACAGCACCTGGGTTTTGGCCGAAGCGATTGTGTGGCTTTGGGACAGTTTACTGAGCTGGAAGAGACCAGTGAGGAGGACGGGGGTGTGCGGGTCATTTCACGAGTTCTGTGTTGGCCGCAGTCGTTTGAGAGATCTTTCCAGTATACAGGTACAGGTGCCGTAGGCCGTCGTTTATATAAGCCTGCAGCTCTGAGGATGAGGCGGGGCTGGCCGCGGGAATTTGGAAGTCATCGGCCTGCCACGGTGTTAAAGCTGTGGAGTGTTACGAGGCAGATGGGTTTTTTGGACAACTAGGAATCCACGTAATGACAAAAAGTGACTGGAAAATTCACCCAGTCTCCGAAAGCTCCATCCTCAGTGCATGTGCACGAAGCGGCTGTGCTCTGCGTCATTTCAGGGGGTGTTTGAGTTCCGCAGCTCTCTTAGTGAGCCGCGCGTTCTGGGGTGCCGTATTCCCGGGGGCCGGGGAGCTGGGGAGAGATGAAACGTTGCTGTCTGAGTGTGCGGCGCTCCAGCTCTCGTCAGGTCAAAGACACTCTTTTCTTTGGAAATTGCTCCTAATTTTAAAAGGCTGCTCTTGGCAAGAGCTCTGATGATGCAGAGATGAGAACTACATCTGCGGTGTATGTGTCCGCTTAGGAAAACCTGGCCAGCACAGGGGATTAATGGGGTTTTAATTTATGACTTAGTTATTCAAGATTGCTGCCCCCAGTGAGGTTGCAGTAAAACTTCTATTACAAAGCAAGTTGGCTCGATCGCTCGGTCACCTTCCCCCCCCCCGCCCTCTCCCTCCTTCCTTGTTTACAGAGAAGAATCACCCGGTATTATTTTTAAAAGAAAGATGGCTACTTTGTAAACAGTGTAATTTCTCTGGTGCATGTTTTAGTTTGGAACTCAGAAATAAAGCCTCTTGGCTACAGCTGAGGTGTTGTAATGACATGGTTGCTTTCAAACAAGAGTTATTTTTTGCTGTTTGACCCTCGCGTCCAGAGGATACTTGTCAGCTCCCTCCGTGTGCGGGGCCTGGTCAAAGCACCAGAGACACGACATTTGACATGGAGACGTTGTTTGGGACATGGATGGTCTTACTAAGTAAGGCAAAGGCTACAGAAGTAAAATCAGGCACTTGAACAGATCTTACTTAAAAATTTTGGAGAAAATTATGATCTCTTCTCAATTTTAACTGCCTTACGTAAATGATAAAATATACCTTACCAGATAACAGTTGTATCGGGGGAAAGCCTGGTGGCGATCAGCTCGTTCCTTGTAGAAGGCCCAAGGCAGAAATGGCCTGTGTTACAGTAGCTGCGCCAGCTGAGGACTGGGTCACGTGCTTTGTTAAATTCAGCCCTCGTTTGTCCCACAAGTTAATGAAGTATCTTCCTTTTAAACTGAAGTAGCAAAAGGGATGTTTGCAGAGTGTAGCCCACTGAGGAAGCAGGGCAAGTTCTAGAGTAATACTTTATTATATTTTTAACCATATACGTTTGCACATATTATATATAAGATAAGTATGGAAGGATATAAGGCTCTTCAGTGTTATATTTAGAAGAAGGACAGGAAAAGTCTTAGTGACTTTATTGTTCACGCGTCCTTGCTCTGCGAATTACCAGTGAGCGTGCGTTACTTCTGCAATCCCAGTGACTGAAATGAAATCAGTAGCGGAGAAGGCAGTCTTTCCTGTTCAGTCGAGTTAAACTGCTTAACGTCTGACAAAACATTTTCATTATTATTGTCGTTTTATTTAGTTAAAGTGAAAAGTTTCCTAAAATGGCGGTTTTTAAAACAAGCGCTCTTTGAAAAACATCTGATGAGAGAGCCAGCAATGTGGTAGGCTAAGTAACCTCAGATTCCTCCGAAAACACTTAGAAGTCAGTGTGTTAGAATAAACATACTTTTGGGAGCATAGCCGTCTGTCGGGTCTGTAAGGAAATCCCTTCGGGGCTCGACAAAGAGAGGCCGCCCTGGTGGTCCTGCGTAGCTCCCGCACCGCTGGGTCAGGTCTAAAGCACAAGCACTAGCCCTTCCACTTCCAGAGAAAGCACGGATCAGGACAGACTCTACCCGCTGGTGCATGGTGCCTGGAAGCTCGTCCTTCACCTGCGCTCTGGCATGAAACAAGGAGTCTCCCAGAGCCTGGCCCTCACACGGGCTTGGCATTAAAGCTTTAATAGTACCTCAGGGTCACATAATGCCCCCAAGGTGTGAGATTGATTGTACACACTGACCCTCGGCCGGCGATAGGCCTGGGGCTCCCTGCAGAAGCAAACACAGTACTTGTTCATGTCTTGCATTTTCCAGGTGTGTGCGAGCGTGCGCGCGTGTACGGGCTCTGTCCTAGTCGGCACACGCTGGAGTCTTTTTTTTTTTTTCAGTGTTCCAGGATTCATTGTTTATGCACCACACCCAGTGCTCCATGCAATCCGTGCCCTCCTGAATACCCACCACCAGGCTCACCTACGGACCCTCCCCCTCTCCTATCCTCCCAAACCCTGCTTGTTTCTCAGAGTCCACAGTCTCTCATGGTTCATCTCCCCCTCCGATTTCCCCCAACTCCCTTCTCCTCTCCACCTCCCCATGTCCTCCGTGTTATCTCTTATGCTCCACAAACAAGCAAAACCATATGATAATTGACTCTCTCTGTTTGACTTACTTCACTCAGCATAATCTCCTCCAGTCCCGTCCATGTTGCTACAAAAGTTGGGTGTTCATCCTTTCTGATGGAGGCATCATACCCTACGACCCTGCAATTGCACTGCTGGGTATTTACCCCAAAGATACAGATGTAGTGAGAAGAAGGGCCATCTGTACCCCAATGTTTATAGCAGCAATGGCCACAGTCGCCAAACTGTGGAAAGAGCTGAGACGCCCTTCAACGGACGAATGAATAAGGAAGATGAGGTCCCCCCCCCACATGCTAGAGTCTTCTGGGGAATGGGGCGGAGCAGGCTCTGATACTTCCATAACGCTCCTAAAAAGTACTGATGTAGCCTGGGACAGGTTACTGATCCTCTCTGAGCCCAAATTTCCTCAGTATTAAAATCAGAACGATAGTATCACTTTAACAGGTTTGTGTTGAGAATTCAGGAGGATAATATATGCCTGCGTTCAGTAAATGTTTAGATCCCTTTTCATTAAGCACATTTATTTAAACTGAATCAATAGAAGCTATTTATTATATTGGTTCCCTCTTTTCTGCCATTGCTAGTCTTATGAAACGTTTTTCTGTTTTATTCCCTGTAAATGAACATATATTTTAGCTTCATTAGACGTAAATAGGCCTTTATTTGCTAGCCTAAGAATCTTAGTGATCATTATTTGCTTGCTTGTTTGTGAAAATGTGTTTCATGTTATAAACATCTGCTGTATCGAGAAACTTCCTAGCACAATCCATTTGTAAATGAAATACTGTCTTTCTACCCTCTGCCTTGCATTGCACCTTGAAAATAGTCAGTGCTCAGTAATTATTTGTTGTCAGATGATTTAAACCTCCTTCACTCTCTTGGCACTGGATCTGTCTGCAGAGCTCAGTCCTTGCAGAGTGCATTTTGTAAAGCAAATGCCGTAGCCTGACTTTACCCCCTTTCTTTGCACAAAGGTAAAGAGTATATCCACTTACTCAGGTAGCGGTCCCGAGCCGGAGTTCATCAGTTCCTTCGTGTCCTGTCATTAAAGACTGAATAATGGGAATGAAATTTTTATTAGATCAGAAGAGGGTTCTGGAGTTTAATGTCATATAAAAGAATACGTGACTTGATGTTTAGGCCATGGAGCATAGATCGGTTGGGGTACAGAGAAGAACAAGGCATAGCCCTTCCCCCAGAAGCTCAAATTTAGACAGAATTATAATTATACATTATATATGTATATTAGATGTCTGTATACTAGATGTCTGTATTATATATGTGTATACAGAACATATACGTTGGTAAGAGCTATGTGTAGGATAGGAGTTTGGGATCAGATGCAGTAAAGTTTCCTGAACAGGGATTGAAGACGTGGTGGGAAATTTCGCCCGGTAAAGACTGGGTGCAGAGCGGGGCAGTCCCATAGGAAGGCCTTGTGCCACGCTGAGAAGCTGGGGCTGGTTTTCTTGTGGGAAGAGCTGTTGAAACATTTTTAGGATAGAGTGTCATGTTTTGAGTATATTGTGCAAAAAGTCATGAAGCAACATTTCTCATCAGACTGGAGGAGAGAAACATTATCAGGAACCTTTCGACACCCAGTCCGCTTACTTGGAGTGTCAGATAGTCAGACTGGCACAACACGGCTCCTCGGACGGACCTTGAATTCCCCAGGAAACCGTCCATGCAGCCAGTAAGAGACCCGAGTCCTAGAGCAGAGCGGTCCAGCCCAAAGGCAGCTGCATAAGGGTGTGGGTCATTCTTTTCGCTGCAGACCCAGAGATGGGTAAGTTGTCCTGTTCTTCAGGAACTTTCTTCGGGTCTGCTTGTTACTCCTCAACCTACGGCTTCTGAAGTGAGGGCTTTCCAGTTGCCACATTGTGCCCATCTGTTGCTTGCTTGAGTTCACTCTTCTTGCAAAGCAGCGAGGGACAGAGTTGGTGCTGGTGCTAGATGCGGGGGGGGCAGGGTGGCGTTGGGATGAGAAGGTGGCAGATGGCTACGATACAGAAAACGAAGGACTTTTAGACAATTTATCTAAAGTGTGATCAGGAACGACGTCGGGGCAAGTCATCGGTTGGACTGGAGTGCAGGATGGAGTGAAGCCACCAGAGCAGGGAAGGGGGCGCGGGGGGCCTGACTGACGGGGGCGCTGGACTTCCCAGAGGTGACTCCACAGACCAGTTCACTGGGACTGGTTTCTGCCTGTAGCACTTCTGTCACAGAGAGCTCTGGGGCTCTGTGGTGGGCTCAGAAAGTTGCTCGCGTGGCTTACCCTAGAGGGTTTTGTCTGGCTACAATGAGAACTTCTAAGTGCAAGAATTCAGCTAAGTGGGAAGCCTCATATGAACGGGACAATGTCACACGAAGGCACGATACTACAGCTGTGGCGTTCGTTCTCTCTTTGCCGTTCTGAGCCAAGTCCGTGCTTAACGTCTCATGATTTATTGCTGAACAGGAAATATTCAAATATTTTCCAAAGCCCTCGTCCTAAATCTAAGATCTAATCTAAAATGTTCCAAGGAACTTTTTTAAATATGAAAAGTAAACTCTTTTATGTAGCTACTATGTACACGCTTGCTTGTGTAATTCACATTTCAACTGTATTTAAATTGAAATAAAGTCATTTCTCTAACTAATTTGACCTACCAGCAAATCATTTCTGTGTTTTGTATACATTTGGGGAAATTTAGTACAATTTTTCAGCCATACCTAAAGGTTTTTAAAACTGACATATTATTTGCTTTTTAAAATTCACCTAAATCTCAAGCTCAGTTTAATGAATTCTGTAAATCGTCGGGCTGGTAGAGAAGACGCTCTTGTTTAGTACAGCTAATCTGGGTCACCTCCAGTCTGTGTTCAGCAAAGGTCACCTCGGTTTAGCGCACCAGTGACCTTTCTGAACGGCCATCTGGAGTCGCGCATTTTGCAGAGCTCATCGGAGTCTCTGGCCAACCCCCAGCTGCTCCGTCTGCAGGGTCACGGGCCCTCTGCAGTGCTCGTCCGCAGGCTCTTCATAACGTGGCACCCTACCTCCTCCAGTCTACGTGTGTGCATGCGTGTGTGTGTGTGTCCGTATCCATGTATGTGTGAGAGTGTGTATGTGCATGCACATCTGTATCCATGTATGTGTGTGTGTGTGAGAGAGCGTGTGCGCGCGCACACATCTGTATCCATGTATGTGTGAGAGTGTTTGCGTGTACATCTGTATCCATGTATGTGTGTGTGCATTGTGCACATCTGTATCCGTGTGTGTGCGCATCTGTATCCGTGTGTGTGCGTGCACATCTGTATTCGTGTATGTGAGAGAGCGTGTGTGCGCACACACATCTGTATCCATGTATGTGTGAATGTGTGCACATCTGTATCCGTGTGTGTGCACATCTGTATCCGTGTGTGTGCGCACACACATCTGTATCCATGTATGTGTGAATGTGTGCACATCTGTATCCGTGTGTGTGCACATCTGTATCCGTGTGTGCGCGTGCACATCTGTATCCATGTATGTGTGAATGTGTGCACATCTGTATCCGTGTGTGTGTGTGCACATCTGTATCCATGTATGTGTGAATGTGTGCACATCTGTATCCGCGTGTGTGTGTGCGCGCACATCTGTATCCATGTATGTGTGAATGTGTGCACATCTGTATCCGTGTATGTGTGTGAATGTGTGCACATCTGTATCCGTGTGTGAGTGTGCGTGCACATCTGTATCCATGTAAGTGTGAGTGTGTGCACATCTGTATCTGTGTGTGTGAGAGAGTGTGAGTGGGTGAGTGGATGTCTTTTTATTTCAGTCATTCCCTCCTTAGTCGTAGCAGATCTAGAATATTCAAAACACTTGTCAAGAAAGTTTGATCCTCGAATATTTAAAGAGCCCACAAAGTTAAGACATCCCTCATTACTAGGAGTGTATCATTATGTAACTTACCAAATAGAAAACTTAGTTATGGGGGGCGCCTGGGTGGCTCAGTGGGTTAAGCCTCTGCCTTCGGCTCAGGTCCTGATCTCAGGGTCCTGGGATCGAGCCCTGCATCGGGCTCTCTGCTCAGCAGGGAGCCTGCTTCCCTTCCTCTCTCTGCCTGCCTCTCTGCCTACTTGTGATCTCTGTCAAAAAAATAAAATCTTAAAAAAAAAAAAGAAAAGAAAACTTAGTTATGGAACTTTGGGGTCCTATATGCCAGGGCTGTTAGGGAGTGTTTGAAAGACCAGGAAACCAATTTACCTCCATTTGTATGACTCAGGAATTTCTGCAGAGGTGAGACATGCTTACACATGCAAGCGTGTGGAAGGGATGTATGCATAGGCCCAAATGTACCTCCTGTTTGGCACGCATCTGTGTTTAAGTGTATCCATTTACAAAATGCATTACGAAGTGATCTCCTTAAGGAACAATTTCAAAGAGATCCCCAGCTGGCCCTTTACAGGAAAGCCTTACCAGCCTTATCAAGCCTAAACTGGGCTGGAAAACTGGAGCTCATCTTATTTTGCCAGTGAGTAAGGTATTTACTGAATTTTTGTGGGTGCCAGACATGCCTCCGTTTTTGGTCTAGGAGATTATAGCTCCTTGAGAATTAACTTATTACGGTGCACAAGGAATCTGAATGAAAAGATGCGTTATTGGTTCAAATACAGTGCTGTTCCCAGACAGCACAGCTTGTGACCTCACGAAGCCGGGCACCTGAGCACTGCAGTCGCGGGGCAGGGAGGGCATCGGCCTGGGAGCTCCTGCCGACTTGTGTGAGCTGCTGAGCAGAGTTTATCATCTCTGATTCAGTGTTACTTTCCTCACCTTCGCATTGGATTGGATTGGGTTGAGGGGTGGGGTCGGGTGGATTATCTCTAGACGCCTTTCTGGCTCTGACACTTGTTCCAGGTCGTGCTTATCTCTGACTGTTGTACTGCTTCTGCAGGGTGTCACCTACTGTGGAGAGAGCTCAGCCAGCAGTCTCACCATGGCCAACGTGCCCTGGCATGAGGAGGTGGTGCACTTTGTCCGGGACTTGGTGGATCTGATCCCTGACTACGAAATTGCTTGTGAGCACGAACATTCCAACTGCCTCCTTATCGCTCACAAAAGGGTAAGCAGAACCCAGCTTGCGTTCTTCCAGCCGCTCCTTCTCCTCCTCAGTGTCTCCTCCCTTCGTTGTAGGGGCGTCCACTTGTTTGCTTCCTTTCCTGAGATGACGTTAGGAGGCCCTCAGTGGTTGTGTGCGTAATAGTGTAGAGAACAAAGGCCAAAGAAATATAGGAAAAAACTGAACTGCATTACAGCTTACAGCCCATCAACAAGTACTCGGGACAGGCAGGGTGACCGTCCTCCAGGAACTCAACTACCTCCATGTTAATACCTTGCTAAAGGCAAAAGGCAGCCTTCGCTTGACATTAGTCCAACCTCCAGGGTCCTGTGAATCTTCTTTAACATCGAAAATCCTCTTGGGAACGTGTTTTCTCTATCCATCCGCCCCCAAGATATATGTTAGTAATCATCTTCCAAACATGGTTCCCTGATACCTAGCTGAAGGCTCTCTTGACTAAGGTTTTACCAGACAGTACTAAATGACATTATCCTAACAGCAGCTAGCCCCTCAAGGTCCTGGAAACCCGGCTTCCCACTTTCTCAGAAACTTACGCTCTCCCTCACCCCCTCCCAGCTTGAAAATATGTGATCAGTCACTCCTCACAACCCCAGCGCGGCTCTTTCTGCCTACAGGTCCTGTCTGCCTGCCTTAATGAAACCATCCTTTTTGCACGAAGATAATCTTGAGAATTCTTTCCTGCTGTTGGTTCCTAGACGCCAGCATTTTACATCAGACAGGTTGACTGTTGAGATGGGATGATAGCGCAGTCAGGTTTGCTTGACGACTCTGCATCCTTTTCTATTCAACTGCATTAACAAGTGCTTTTTAAATTTTTTTTAAAAGATTTTATTTATTTATTTGACAGAGAGCTCACAAATAGGCAGAGAGGCAGGCAGAGAGAGAGAAGGGGGAAGCAGGCTCCCGGCTGAGCAGAGAGCTCGACGCGGGGCTTGATCCCAGGATCCTGAGTTCATGACCTGAGCCGAAGGCAGGGGCTTTAACCCACTGAGCCACCCAGGTGCCCCGCACAACAAGTGCTTTTTTTAAAAAAGGGGACATGGATGAACACTGAAAACATTATTCTAGGTTAAAAAAACAAAACAAAACACAATAGGGCACTATTATATGATTCCATTTGTCTAAAATGTCCAAACCGGGTAAATCCGTAGTGACAGAAAGTAGATCGGTGGTTGCCTGAGACTGAGAAGGAGCAGGCTGGGAAGTGACCACTGCCAGGCACAGGTGTTCTTCAGGGGTGATGGAAATACTCAAGAATTATCGAGTGGAGTCGGTTGCCCGTCTCTGTGACTATACCAAAGTCCATGAATTGTACCCTTTAAAAGGCTGAATTTCGTGGCATGTGAGTTATATCACAATCAAGATAAATTAATACCAAAAAGATAATAAAGGCCAAGAGTGGAGTACCTCTTCTTATATAAGTGCTTTTTATGCGAGTAAAGTCAGGCTTAATTTGAACATGAAAGAACATTTTATCCTCCCCCAAAACCTTACATGGCTTCCCAAACAGCTTCTTAGCTGAACAGCACTTAATAATACAAGATTTGCTCAATTAAAATTTCACGTCCTCTAGTCTCACAAGTGCCAGGTTGAAAGGCCTGCATGCGTTGGTTGCGGTGAGAGTGTATGCAGCTGACCTGTGGTCTGTCAGACTTAAATACTTAGAAGAGTATGCTCTGGGACGTCAAGGAACAGAAATAAAGGCCACCTGGTATTTGAAGTGTTAATTAAAGTAGCTTCAAAGCTAATTAACTTACAAAGCAAATCTTAAAATTAAAGCCAAACCCTGAATTTTATTTTCTGGTTCTTCGTTCAGTGTTTTCGTAGGTTCGAGGCTAGAGAATACGGATCTCTTGTGCTCAGACGCTTAAGTGACCTCCCTTTGCTTTTAACTTAGGAGTCAAAATCCTTAGTGGGACCTTAGGACCCAGTGTGACCGGGCTGTGCGCCTCTCCAGCTTCCTACACTGCTTGTCCCTCTCTCTCTGCACTTTCTTTATATTCTCAGCCACATTAGGTCTTACTTTCCCTTTAAATAGGCTGGAATTTCGGACTCTTTTCTGTTCTTGTAGTGGTGCACTAGGAATGGCCGTGTGCGTCCTCGACTAATCACAGTAGAGGATACTTTTACACTCCAACTGCAAAGCAGGGACCTGAGAACACCTCATCAACCCCCGTTCCCCTTCCCAGCGCAGGTGCTGTTACTGTTGGGCACGGTAGTTGTGAGCGGGCGGGAGCATCGTCGCTAACTGCCTCACAGAGTCAGGGCTCCGTTGGATGCACATGCATCTTTAACTCTGCTTTGCTCTCCGTTCCTTTCTGCATTTTGACCCTCCACATGGAACTGTTTTCCTTCTCCCCAGAAAACACTTTTTAACATATGTGTTGGTGGGAGTCTGCGGATGGAAAATTCCGTTCTTGTCTGGAAATGAACACTTGGCTGGGGATGAAATTCTGGGTTGACATTTGTTGCCTTTCACCACAAGAGAGATAATCTCTCGTCTTTTAAATTCCATTGATAACAAGTCAGCTATTGGTTTGTCCTCGTTTTCAGATAATCTGCCGTTTTCACGCTTTTGGCTTCTCTTTTGGTTCTGCCCATATCCACAGGGAGTTCCCAGAAGGCGCCAAGCAACTGAATTCAGTGTGATAAATGCAGTAACAGGCATAGCTACCCAGGTACACACCAGCACGAAGAGACAGTCTGAGACCGACGCTCGTTAGCTAATGTTTCTTGAGCACCCAAGGTGTGTCAGGCCTGGTACTGGGTACTAGGGATGCAAAGATGAGTTAAGCAAATCGTCCTTGCCTTCGAGAGTGGTCTGACAGAAAAAAGAAAAAAGGCAACTGTTGAAACCAATACCTCCAGTTTTTCATCAGAGCAATGATGGAAGAGTAGAGTAGAACCTGGGGGCGGGGTGTGCTGGGGACAATATGCTACTATTGGGAGAGGCTTCCCAGAGGAGTTGCTGTTTGACTGGATGTCCAGCGACAGCCCAGCAAGGACGGACATGAAGGCAGAAAAATGTACAAGGAGAAGTCCTTGGAGAAGTGTAGAGGCCTAACCTGTTGGGAGAACAACGAGTAGTTCATTATGGCCGGAGTTCAAAAGAAGGGTTGAAGGGAAAGGAAGGGGGGTGACTGGTCAGGGGCAAGGGCGTTGGTGGTGCTGAATGGAATCCTAGTCGCGCAGTTTCCTGTACAGCACGGGCAGCGCTGAAGGGTTTGAAGTAGGACAGTGACACCGTCAGATTTGGGTCTCAGAAAAATTTGTTTAGCAACATTAGGGGGCATGAACTGTAAGACTAGAAGACAGAGAAACCAGTTAAAAACTTGTGATAGTCCAGCAGTCCAAGGGTGACATAATGAGGGTCTGAAACAGAGGCTGTGAAGGGAGAGAAAGGAGAATGGGAGACTTGGTCACTCAGTGCAGGCTGCTCTCTGTCTTCCTAGGTGAGTCGGGGGTTGGTGTCACCTCAACCAAGCGGATGTCAAGGTTCGGGTCCCCACTCGGCCTCCGTTGACCTGTTGGGGGAGGAGTGCCTCCTTTTGGCTAATTTGGGGGTGAAAGTTTGGGCTCTCCCCGCAGAACCTCTGCTCCACTCTGACCAGGAAGGGAGGACCACCTTGTTGCTGCTCCGCAGGGACAGTATGGGATGGATGTGGGGGCCTTGGTGCCCCTAGGCAGTAGGGAAGGTCTTGGCTCTCTGCTAGGCTTCCTCCGTCCCCACTCTGGCGTGGGTGGGGTGAGGTACCTTGCTACGGCCAGGTGAGGCCAGTGCTCCTGGGACCACGGGGGGCGGGGGTGGGATGGCCGGATCCTCCACTCCACCTCCTCTGAGAGCTCCCCAGCCGCGAGGAAGGAGGGCGCGGCCCAACATGGCTGGGCGGATGTGAAGGTCTAGGGTCCCCCATAGATGCTGACTGACCTGGGCTGAGAATCGGGCATTTTTTTCATGGCCTAGGTTGATTATTGCTTAAGTTTTCTGTCCTGCTAGCTAGGGTGCCCTTTTCCTGGTCCTCTGGCTGAGAAAAGCAGGTTTTTCATGGGGCTCTAAGATTTGTTTTACTGTTTGTGCCCTTTAGTATTTCTGGATTGCGGGCTTCAGCCAGGCCTCTAGGCTCCAGCACCCGGTGCGGGATTCTTAGTAAGAGCCACAGACAGAGCCCAGGGAATGCGTAGCGTCTGCCTTCTTTTATCTGCCTTTGAAATCGTCTTGTGTTTGTTTTGTATATGATACCCAGGGATTTTAGCCACACAGTGGGAGAGGTAGGAAGAAGTGCATATCCTCCATCTTGTCCGGAAGCAGAAGTCTGTGACCACAGTTTTGACATTTATAGATTTTGGCTTAGTATCTCCTCAGTGAGCAGTAACGCCAGTCCACTGGGTACACCGTAAATTACAGATTATTTAGCAGAATACTTCCATGTAAGTTGATTTTCTTTACTAATGTTAGAAGTGTCACCCAGGATGTTACAAGGCTGCCCCTGCAGTGTTACCGGGAAGAGTTTCCTGAAACTTACATGAAGATATCCCTGTCTGATCCTCATCGGGGCCTGTCAGATCCCATTTAATGAGGAGGCCGGCAGTTACCGACGGGTGCCTTTTTAAGGTCACAAAAAACAGAGCTATAACCAAAAACCAAATCAAGGAAAGAAACAGAAAAAGAGAAAAATGAAACCTAAGACTAGAAGAATCCGTAACACAAACCATTTAGTTCATAAATAACAGCGTGAGCATTGACTGTTTAATGACCTCATTGTTCACGCTGCCAATTCCCAGCTTACTGTTTCTCTGCTGTATTTTTGAAACAGGACATCTCACCCTGAACGCAAAAGAAAAACCTAAATACTTGATTCTTAATGGCCTTCACAATCAGGGCCTTTTCAGCTTTGTCTCAGGCCCCCTCTCTGGGCCTCTGCAAGGTCCCACCATGTTGCTTTTTTCCTCCGCCTTTGCCCAAGATGCCTCTTCTGCCAGAA